TGTAACTGATAAGTATTTATACTTCACAGCCTCACAATAAAGAAGCAGGAATGAACTTATTGGAATGAGAATAGATGAAATGCAATAAGAAAAGGTGAGCTTTTATGGAGAAATGGAGAGGATCAACCATGTAAATGCTGCAATTACTCTTTTATGTACCAATCTGCTTCCTACCCAGAGTTTCATCTCCAAATTGTTCACCTCTACCATAAAATTTTCTTCTTATTATTTTTATTATTATTATATTTGAAATTAGGGTATCGAAAATAATGCCTTTTTATTTTTTCTTACTAGGGGAACAAGATCTAACCTGGGCTTCTTTCTGTTTAAGGCACAATGACAGTGAACTTGGCATAAGCCTCATCCAAAGGCCACAACAGGCAGAATTACCTCAGTCATGTCTTTAGTGTTACTGAAGTGTTTAAGGCCAAAATTACTACTCAGGGCTATGCTTATTTTTAATTTTTTTTGAGAGGATTTTCTTATTTTTTGATTGGGAAAATGTTAACACCCTTACTATTATCCCAAGAGTTCATTCTGAATTTGATTCAATGCATTTCAAAACTCATTGGTTGGGAAGAATTATACTGACCCTGATGAATACCAACTTCACAAAACCTTCAGCTTTTGCATCTGGTCCTGGTTAGTTCCACAGTTTGATTTTCAAACAAGCAAACAAAATATCCTAGATATTCTCACAACTCATCTGAGCTTTATACAGAAAAATCCATGAATATTTTTAGGAACTCCCAGTTTGTAAGGAGTACAGATAAATTTTATCTGGTGTGGTTTAACTTCAAATATGATCACTTGATACATTGGAATGGAAAAATCTAAACACAACCACTTCTGTAGGCATGCCAGCACAAACACATCTTTCATTATTCCTTGTCAGTTGGAGCTTAAAATTAGAAAATTTCAGGCCAATAAATGAAAGCTCAGAATCTTTACACATTCATGCCAAATCTGTTCTGTTTGTGCAACTACAAGATTTAAAAGGCTAGATAGAAGTGTTTCTGCAGTGTGCTTGAGCTGACCCAGAGGCAGCAAACTGGCAGCTCATGCCCTTTTAAGAGACCTCAGAAGCAAAGATTGTTTTAGTCTCTTAGGTGTCTCTTGAAAGGGTTGGGAACTGTGAGTGAGGATGTGTGTCACAGCCCGGCACAAACCGAGGACAGGTTTCTGAGTTCATTACTGCACTTTCCCTTTGCTAAAATCAGCCTTTGTCCAGGTCAGCTAAAAAGGCAAACGAGGCAGGAATTTAATTCAATACATAACCCGAGCCTATTGTAGCAGCTCTGAGGGGTGGCAAACCTAAGGCACAGGACGTGCAGACCTTTCTCTCTGTAGCACACAAGCTCTGAACAGTGCCGTGCTCAGCAGTGCAGATGTAACAGTGGGCCTAGAAAGAAATACAAAAGACTATAGATAGATAAAAACCACTCTATAAAAGATACTCTGTGCTCTTTTTTCAAATCAGTATATACATTTGCTACTTTTTTTTTAATGGTCTAAACAATAAAAAAAAGAATTTTCCCATCATGGGAAAATTAGACTTAAAAGAAATGAATCTTTGCATTTAGGAAAGAGCTTACATCAGTTTCTTATTTTACTGCTTTTTTAGGTTCTCCAGGCTTCCTTTCAACAGTGTTTCTGCTTTGATGTCTTGCTCTCTACCCAGATTGCCAGAAGGCTTTCTGTTGCAAATGCAGGTGTTTTCAACTGTTAGATACAGTTGTGTTGTATTATTCATCGCCTCGATATAAAAATGTATTAGTGGGACACTTATTTTACACAGAGGACAAAACAGGGATAATTGGAAAGATGGCAGACTGTATATAGAGGAAGATGTTGCTCAGTGAGACATGTTTGGCAGTGGAGGAGACAGGTTTGCATCTGCCTTGCTGCTGTTTCATGTATCAGTCCTTGAACCTTTAAAGCACAGTTTTTCTAACAGACTGTCTTGCCCATCAGGCTGGCATCTGAAACTAATTAAACGTGGCTTTTGAGAAGTACAGCTCTGTTCACAGAGAGCACCTAGAAATCATCATGCTATGTCAGGGTTATTTGTTACATGCTGGTGCTTTTTCCTGATTTTTGTTGTTTTAGTGCTTGGTAAAGACTGTGTGTGTGGGGCCAGGTCTTCCCTGAGCTGCTGGGAATTACCAGAGATGCCACTGAATGGATCTGCACGTCAAGGGCAATCTCGAGGCTTGTTACACAGTAAAATGAACACCTCAGTCCTGCTCCTGACAAGGATTTCTCTGTAACACCTGCCCTGTCATTCAGAGAGAGCTCTGTGTGCCACACAGACAAAGCAGGGGGACATCCAGAGAAGGCTGGTGAGTCGTGACCCTGCTCAGAGTTAGAGAAGTGCAATAACCCTGCTATTAAAGCTGCCAGCTGGAGAGGGCTGGTATTCACCTTTCACTCCACTCAGCTGCTTCAGAAATGGAGGCAGAGCATTGCTGGTGAGAAAGAACCTAAGCTGGACAGTGAAACCATATAAAACATATTCACCAGAGATGGTAAAGGGAGGAAGGAGAATGAGGTGGGGAAGGATGAGGAAAAGGGCTGGGGGCACAAGTAAGCCATTCAAAAGCAGAAAAAATGCCAGAAAATGGTTTTCCCTTTCTTACCATAAAATATTCCTTATCTTTCTTCTCTTCTGTCAGCTTTCCCTGGATGGGCATTATGCTCAGTGCATGTCCATCTTCCAGAGCACCCTGGCAGTCTCCCATTTTGGGCACCTGGTAACCCTGTATGCTTTGTATCTGTGAATCCAAACATGATCTTGGGCTGCTAAATGGGCAGTAAAGCACTTTCATGTTTTGTATCACTCCAAAGTTCAGAGGCATCCTTTTGATGTGCGTGCATTTGCTCATCTACCAACCTTTACACTTACGGCTTTTTGAAAATAGATATTCTAATCATCAGTCCTGAGAACTTTTGTCTCTGAACACAGGAGGCTCTTCTTTTGTCTTTCATCTCTTCCAAAGAAGCCTCAGTGCTTAAAAAGCAGGCAGCTTAGCACCAGGAGATGGGAATCTCTGCTCAGCCGCCTCCTCATGCTAATAGCACTGCCAGGTGGCTCCAGGTTGTGCCTGACTGCAATGGAGGGAGGGAGCTCTGTCGAATCCAGTGCCTGACGCTGGTCAAGAAAGCAGCACAACATTTTATTTGTATGGATAGGAGAGAATTTTTCCTTAAAAGCAGATCTTGTTTGGACTTCTGGAATGGGTTTAAATTCTGGTTTCTGGATTTAAAATAGCCTCTGACAGCTCATGAGAGTGAGGAACATGATAGCGTTTGTGTTGCCTGCTAAGCATGCCATCTTCTGTTGACTCTGCTGGCTTCCTGGCCCTGGCCATGATCTTTGGTAGTGAATCCAACCCTAGAGTTAAGTTGAGTGAAAAAGTATCTCCTTCAATCTGTTTCTAATTTTCTAAGTTATAATAGTCTCCTTGCTTTTTATGCTATAAACCCAAAATGAGGGTTCTTTTTCTGGTCTACTCTACCATTTCATGTAAACTCCCCATCTCTATTTTCTTAGATGAAGCTTTGCTTTTTTTTTTTTTTTCTCTCTGCTCAGATGAGCATCTTTCCAGAGGCTTAATCATTCATCTTTCCTTTTAATTCTACAGTCCTTGTGATGGGATAACCTTCTTCCAGATGAGTTCACACATCAGGCAGAAAAGCAGTGTTGCACTTTGGGTATGGCTTAGCAGGTCAGAGCTTCACATCTTTGTCACTAAGGTGCCCCTCACTATCTAAGCCTTTCCAAGGTACACTGAGTGCCACATTTAACTCTTTGGTTGTTTATTTCCCAACACCTGTTTTGGGAGAAGAGGTGACTTCAGTTAACTCGTGAGTTTTCTTTAAATATCTCCCCCATATGCAGTACAAATGTTACCTACAACAAAACTTAGGAGATAAGTAGGGGCCAGACTAGGTATTATTCAAAGCAAATAGAGATAGTATTTTTCATTAATCCTTATCTTTCACTAATTTTTTTGCTCAGGTCATGTTTCTTCCATGAAGTCAGTAACTATTTCTATAAGCTTATAATCTGACACGGGATTTACATGGTTTAAAAGGGCTTTACTTCTGCTGTGGCTGTAGAGCTGGAGCAGAGCTGGTCTTGTCGTGCAGAAAGGATGGGTGGCCTGTACTGCACCCATCCGTGTAGCAAAAGGTGGGTTCCTCAGGGCGCTGGGACTGTGCTCTGCTCCCAGCCAGCCTCAGCTTCCCACCATGGTTTTCCCAGGAGAGCTGCCGGCGCTCGCGGCCGTGCCAGGGACAGCCGGGGCGGCTCTGACCACCAGATCCCAAAAGCTCTCATCACCGCAAGGCATCATCCCGCTGTTGGCAAACCGAAACCACGGATTCTGCCTTAAGGGCCGCGGTAAGCTCTTACTAACAGCCCCCAGGCCGTGCTTCCTCGACCATTTTGGGCTGAGTTGCTGCAATTCATACATTTTGGCGGTGGGCTGGGCTGAGAGGAGCCTGCGCGCCGGCTGCGCTCTCCTCGCACCTCTCCACGCCCGGGTCAGTCGAGAGCCGCCCGGCCAGTGCCCGACTCATGCTCGGTCTCCGCCGATGCCAGGGCTCGCCGAGCCGAGCGCAGCCCGTGCTCGTTCCCCGCGGCCGCGCCGCCCGCATATGCCCGGCGGGGGCGCGACTGACGGGGCAGGGGCGGGCCCGGCGCGGAGGGCGGCTCGGCTCGGCTCGGCTCGGCTCGGGGCGGCGGGACCCGCCTCGCCCGGGCGATGCCTGAGCGCGGCGGCGGCAGCGGGGGGGCGGGCGGGTAGCGGCAGCGGGGACGCGACGCTGCTGCCCTGCCTTTCCCTGCCCGCCGCTGGCCCTTCCCCCGCCCCTCCCCGCTCCGGTGCGCGACTCAGCCGCCGCTCCGGGCAGGGAGGAAGGGCTGGGAGCCGCCTCCCGCTGCCCCCGGCCGCCCCCTCCCCATGCAGCCCGGCCCGCCGCTGGGAGCCCTCCCCGGGGGGATGTTTCTGCGGCCGCTGCCGGGATAACCGGCGCGCCGCCCGCCCCCGCCCCGGACGGAGGATGCTGCCCGCGCCGTGGCGGGTTCCGACTCGGGCAGCAGCGGCCGCGTCCGCCTCCTCGGCTCCGGGCAGCGTCGCCGGGGAGAGATGAGTTCGCGGCACCAGGCGGACTGGATCCCTTACAGGTAGGGGAGACCCCGCGGGAGGCGGCGGGTGGGGCGGAGGCACCGGGGCTGCCCCTGGCCGGGAGCCGCTGCCTCTCGGGGGGTCCCCGCCGGAGCCCGCGGCTCGGTCGCGGGGCCGGGGCGGCCGGACCCTCCCGGGGCGCGGCGGGGCGGCGGGGCGGCGGTGGGTCCCGCCGGGGGGAGCGGATCGCGGGCCGGCCCGGGCGGGCGCTCCCTGGAGGGGCACCCGGTCCCACCTCCCAACTTCGGGCCGGTGCCGCTGCGCGAAGTTCGGGGGCTGCTCTCGGGGCGAGCTGTCAGCCCCGCGGGGAGCGGGCAGAGCGCGGAGCTGTCCCGCCCTGCGGCCCCGGCGGGCGGGCGGGCGGAGCGCTGCGCCGTCGGTGGCGGCTGCCGCCCTCGGGCTTGGGCCGCGCTGCCCCCGCCGGCGGCGGCTCCGGGAGCGCGGCTGCGGGCGGGCGATGCGCGGGGCGGCCGCGGCCGGCGGTGCCGCCATGGCGGGGAGCGGGATCGCCATGGCAGCGCCCGGCCCGCCGCTGCCATTGGCTCCGCCGTTGCCATAAGCTACGGGAGCCGCGGCGCGGCGGCGGCCCGGGAGCCCCGTGCGTCAGCGGAGCCGGCCCCGGTGCGCGGAGCCCCGCGGTGCGCGGAGCCCCCTGCGCCCCCAGCCCCGCAGCCGTGCCCTGCCCGGAGCGCCCGGGCGTGGAGCGGGAGCATCCGCGGCTGGAACGAGGGAATAGTTGGTGTCAGACTTGCCGGACCGAGGGGAAACCGAGCCAAATCTTTCGCTGCGGGCGGGATGGGCTCTTCTAGTAATGGACCCCTTTCCGAATCTGCTCTTCAGAGTACATTAACAATATGGGTTTGTTTGTTTGCTTTTATTTTTAGTTTTCGTTAAAGTGTTTTTTTCAAGCTGAATTTTTACAGACGGAAATCACGAGGTGTTTTACAAGGCTCTCTGAAAACGACAGAAAGCATGTTTGTTTCATTTGTTTGGTTGTAAGTGAAACAAGGTAGATACAGTAACGTAGGAAACGAGGATACAGTCTTACGGTGCGCCAGGGGAGGTTTAGGTTGGACACGAGGAAAAAGTTCTTCGCTAAAGGGATGATTGGGTATTGGAATGAGCTGCCCGGGGCGGGGGTGGTGGAATCACCGTCCCTGGAGGTGTTTAAGGAACGGCTGGATGTGGTACACAGTGCCATGATCTGGTTAACACGATAGCACTCAGTCATAGGTTGGACTCGATGATTTCAGCGGTCTTTTCCAACCTAGTTGATTCTGTGATAAACCTTTTATTTTTGTTGTCGGTAGAGAATAATGGAATTAAAAATATGTATTGTAAAAGAAAGCTGCTTAAGCAGGTTAGTTGTAGTTTGCCACATTCTCAATGACACTGTTGGTAGAAGACGTATGCCTGCCACAACAAATGCAACGTGAGCACAAATGCATCACTCCTTAATACAGAGGGAAAAAAAACCCCCAAGATAACTGCACAAGTGGAAATCTGCTATTTTGATATGTGCACATCATAGTTCAAATCAGTAGATGAATTAGAAAGAAAGAAACATGATTACAATGAATCTGAGAATATTGCCGCTCTCTCAGCAATAGCACTTTCAGCCCATGCATTTTGAAAAGATGTAAGGAATTGGCAATAAGGCTTCAAAAATGACTAGTGGATGCATTCTGATGCAATTTGAAGCCTTGTAATGAGGACAGAAATATCAGAGGAACAGCTGTTCATGGCTCATCCCAGCAGCAGTGGAAGAGTTTTTCTGTTCTCTCACTGTACACAAGGCTCTGCAGAGGCCAATGCCAAAACTTTGCTGAGGGGTTTTATATTAGTGGCCCCAAAGAAGGAAATAAAACATCTCTATTTCTGCTCAGTGCAGCACAAACAAGGGGAGGCAAAGCAGCAAATCTCAGAGAAACACAGATTTAATGATACTCATATCTTTTCTAATATAATGTTATTCTTGAATGTTAATGATGTGTTTATGGTCAGAAACTGCTGAAGACTGCTTAAAACCAAATGGCAACCAAACCACGGTTCTGCTCTGAAGTGTCTTTATTTAGGCTTCTAACAGTGTTCTCTCAAGAAGCTGACTTATTTTTCAGTCTTCAGAGGTAATTCTTGAGCTAGAGGCATATTGTTGCAAATCTTATTGGACTTCTGTTTGTAAAGCATTTTCCAGGATCCCCTAAACATACTTGCCTAGGAAGCAGGGGTTTGTGAATGCATATGTGACTGAGTTTACACATGAAAGCACTGTATGAGTAAATTGGGTCAAAGTACCATTTCGAGGGAGTGGAATATGCAAGGAGGAGGAGAGACCTGATGTGCACCCCTTGGAACACATCATCTTCTCTCTGAGAGCACAATGCCCCATGCTTATCTGCCCTCTTGCTTCACATTCTTATTTACTGTGGTGAGTCCAGGGGTTGCTGACTCTCAGAGCCCCGAGGAAGGTTCAGCACCTTCTTTATGGTCTGGGTGGCATGTGACAGCCAGGAGTGTCACTGCTGCTCGTGTGTGCAGTGGGGACAGAGCATCGGGGTGTGCTGAAGTCTGGAAAGATGTATCCTTCTAGCAGTGGAACATATGGGCAGCTATATACCTGAATTAACTCAAGCAGAGAGGGATTGTATTTCTGCTAGTAAAATGTCATATTGTTCCTTTGAAGTGAAATGAGCCAGAGGGAGTCAGTTCCACATGTGTCATGCACAATTCATTAAGCAGTCCACCTGCATGTCCACAACTCACAAACTTACACTTCCCCTTTTAAGATGCTGAGAACATTTTGAGTGAGTTAACAAAAAAGAGTAGGCAATCTTTTCAGTGTCAGTGCTAGCTCGTGCAGAGGTCAATAAAAGGTTCATGTTATTTGTGAGTTTGTGATTTCGGTGTTTTGCCCTTATCTCTTTTCATCCTCTCTTAAGTATTCTGCTTTTGAAATACTGATAGTCATAGGATGAGATTTCAGTTCACTAACATTATGAAAAATAGTAGGGAAGCTGTTTTTTAAAAGTAAATATATTGCATTTATTTTTATGGAACACATATCATAGGAATTTAAGCACATGATTAAGCACTTACATGAAGCTGCACATCAGGTACAATGAGCTAGGAATTCTTTAAATTGCACCCATTTTTAACAATGTCTCTGTGCTTTATTATAAAGAGTCAAAATAGTTTAGATGAAATTTAAAAAAATAATCATTTGCAGTCCATGTAGCTGCCCCCAGCCCAAAAGTGGTTTGCAATGGCAGTTAAGAGTAAGATGTAGCTTCTTGAAGAATTATATTCTCAAACACAGTAGTGTTTTCCTTTGGTATCCTTCAGCAGTTTCAAGTAGAAAATACAATGCAGAAGTGTCTGGGAATCATTACAAATTCACAGGAGTTCCGGTTTTTTATTCAAAAGTATGGGTTTTTTTCATATCTTTTTCTTGAACTCATTTTTAATTTATAGCATTTCTTAAATATAACATACTCATTTTTATTTTATGCCGTTGTGTCTTGAATAAGTGAAGACATTTCTCATACTATAAAACTGGAGTCAAATAAAACTGCTGCTAGGTAGGATGAAAGCATCAGTAAACTCAGTTACAGTAAGGCCCCTGTCTCTATTATTATTATTTGTTCTTATGTTTTCAGCTGCTTCTTTAACAATAAATCTTGATCCTGTAACTTTAGAAGCAGCATTTACACAACCAGCTAACCTGTTCCATGAGAAATATCTAAACACTACCAGCTGAAAAGCCCAATCCACACGGGAATCAATTTAATACAAGTTCCCAGGGTTCTCTGAAAAGTGTCTGTGTGATGCTGCTGAGCCTTGGTTTGTGTGGATAAGCCTGCCATGGCCAGAGGGGACCCCATGAACTGTGCCCTGCAGGGGCCTGGCACTTGGCACTGAGGGCACTGAAGGCACTGAAGAGAGCAGATCACACAGCCTGCATTTGCAGTGGCATAATATGTCTTGATATGTACATGATGGTGGTAATAATGCACATTATTTTTGTTTGTGACAGGTTTTATTATGCTCAATTTTTGTAGCTTTCATGAATTTGCTCTGAAGTTTTAAGGCTGTGCTTAGATATTGCAGCTATAAACAGTCACAAGTTATTTACTTGCAAAGGGGAGGATTACAGTTGGAAGAAAATTGTGGAGCACAGCTGGGTTGTAAATTCATGAATCATCACAATTAGGGCAGATAAGAAGATTTCTGAAAGTGTGATGTGTAAACAAGTCCTGGAACAAGAACGGCCTTGAAGGTATCCCACACTTGTTTCTGAGCATGATGTTGAGGCAGTGGGATGTTATAAACCCTCAAGTTTTGGCATTGTGAAGGCAGCAGTGCAGGGGAGGGCTCACCTTGCTGCAAGGTGCAGTCTGTGACCGAGAGCATCCCACTGCAGGCAGGCTCGCTCCCAGCCTCCTGCCATGGGGAATGGCATGGATAATTTACAAGAGCTGCTTTTTTAAGGAAAAGAGTTCAAAGACTGTGTCTGTCCTCTTCTCTGAAACAGGCTGTCTTGTCTCAGGCTATTCAGTGTATAAAATTAGCCTGGTCATGTGCTTTTAAAACATTGAAGTTGGAGCTCTCCCTTAATGGAACTCTGTGTTCTTGCATGGAGTGCTCCTGCTGTGGTGCAGAGATCAAAGGTGGTTTGCCCAGCATCAGGGTGAGGGAGATGCCACAGGCAATTGCTACCCCGAAACTGGTAGCCTAAATCAACCAGGCAGAAAAGAGAGGTGAGGAAAATAAGTATCCCAAACCGTGGAAGTTGGAGGGTGTTGGCTTAAATGGAAATGGGACAAGGCTCAAGGGAGATGAGCTGCAGAGCCGGGTGTGAAACCTCGTTGTCTTGTGCTTTGCAGTGTGCCAGAGGTGGGTTTAAAAAAGGGGCTGAAGGGGCTTTACCACCCCTTGTAGGGGTCTTGTGACAGTGAGTGATGCACCAGTTGTCCCTGAGCTCTGCCACCCCCCACCACCT